CAGCTGGTGTAGAAACTGAGTCTACGGGCTTCGAGACGCACTTCTCAGTTGGGTGAACTTGGGCCAATTGTTTATCCTCCCAGTGCCACAGTTGGAGATTGGGGATTCCTCATTTGGAGACTGGGAATGCCATTTTCTGTTGTATATTTGGTTTGTAAGGGTGAGAGAGCATTTGGGGGTACCCCTCCATCACTCCTTCCCACTTAGGCTCTGGCACGGGGAGCCGGGATGGGTAGTTTCGTGTGCCCATTAAACGGCAGGCATGATAGAGGCACAGCACTTTCATAGAACAGCTTCCATTCGGGAAACCTGGATATAAAAGTTAGACTCTATTGTGGGCAATGACTTCCTTCTCGTTCAGCACGTATGGAAGGGTTTTCCATCCAGTGTTTGAGTTCTGTGATGAGCCCCACCTGACTTCATTTAATCTTGTTCTCCTGGACTTGGTGGATGCTTTGCTCTCCTCTGTGTCATTTTTTTCTGAGTTGCAAGTTTGATACGATGAAACTGGGGGTTGGGGGCTGGAAGACTTGGGGGACACAATAATTGCCACTGGATGTCTGAAGGGTATGAGAAAGAAAGCTCAGATTTGTATCAAATATGCCCAGGCATAAAGCCAGCCCCCAAAGGGAAATATTCCCAGGAGGCATATTCTGGTTCAATATTAGAAGAAAACTTCTAGGATTTATGGTCCTCTGAAGCTTGGAGTGGGCTTCTTGGGACCTCTGTGGCCCTGGCTGGACCCAGAAGGTATGTCCACTGCACAGTGGACTGTTAACGCTGGAGTTTCAAACATTGGCTGGATAGATGAATTATAAATTATATCATCTTTAAATAGTAAGTTTGATCATTTTTTTCAATTATGACCTTATCCTGTGTGTTAACCTGTCACATTCCCACCTCCCTGTGGGAATCTGCCTACAGAGTTTCCCTTTCCTTGCCCTGGCTGTCAGGATCAAGCCCAAGCCCGCTGCTGGGGGGAGAATGACTGTCCAGAAAGGGGAGTGAAGAGCAGGTGGGGGGAAGGTGGAAGGAGAGGAAAGGTGAAAGTCATCCGTTCATAGAGACAGACCCTAGTAATGAACTGGCCTGAGAAAAATGGTGGGAAACACAGAGATAGTATTCAAAGATGATCCAAGAAATGGCATTGAGGCTGTGGCAAGGCAGAGTCACCAAATGGTTGAAAGCATGGGAGCTGGAGCTAGGCTACCTAGGCTCCAAGCCTGGCTCTAGGACTCACTCCCTGTGTGACATTGGGAAAGTTACTCAACCTCTCTGTGCTTCAGTTTCCCCAGCTGTAATGGAAATGGTGATGTTGGTATCTCTTATTGTGGGGATTACATGTAAATATTGGGGACATTGGGATAGGTGCCCCCTCAAGCTGTTAGCTGTTTGTAGTGGGTGAGTCTGAGACGTTCACTTCAGGATGAGGCGCGGTTCAGAGGAGGACGGACGCTTTATCAAGGGCTAGAGATCTTCTCATTTTAAAGTGAAAAGGAAGAGGATTGAGTCAGAGAGATCCAGTAGTAGCAAGCTGGGGAAGGAAGGGAGGGAGACAGAAACATTAGTGGAAAATAGAGGCAGCTTCAAACCCTAACAGAAGGCAGGGCTACACCCGTGATTCCTGAACCGAATGATCAGCTTGACATTAAAGTGAGAGAAAACAGTCCAGGGGAGGATGGAGGACTAGGGATTCAGGATTTCTCACATTAGGAAGCGTGGTGGGAGGAAAGAAATGAAGCAACTTAACAGATGTGCTTTTGAGCTTTGGTTTTCAGTGCCAAAGTATTTAAGCGTGGGTCTTAGCCAGGGGCTTAGCCAACTTAATCAGATATTTTCTATTTAAAAGATCGTCTTTGTTTTTGTCTGTGGCATCATACTCATCTTTTGAAACACATCCAATCTAGACTGAATAAATTCTGGTCAGAAAGCCAAGCAGGGGCAGCTTGGCGGCCCCGTGGGAGTGGGCCCTTGGCGGGTCTCCTGGCTCTGTGTTCTCGTTTTGGAGAAGAGCCTCACTTCCCATGCTCGGAAGGTTTGTGAAGGTGAGAATGCACGTTCAGGTTTCCTGGATGCTCACACGAGCCAAGAAGCAACAAATCCAAAGCAGGAGTACAGTGTACTGTGCTCTGGGCCCTTAGAAGCTGCATGTGGGTACTGATGAATTGAAGAGCTTGGAAGCTAACTCCAAATTAAGACTGGAAGTCTCTGGTGAAGTCAGTGTCCCTTCAGAAATCCCGGAAGGACCGTGGTCACTCTGTTCTGGGGTCAGTCAGGGCTGCAGTGGCTGGCCCTTCCTGCAGGGACAACCCCCACTCCACTCCTCAGGGGGTTCTTTCTCTGGCCTCTCGCCCTCGGCAGAGAGGACATCCCTTATTCTGTCTGTGATAAATGGAACAATCCGATAACAGATGGTGGGAGGCTCTGGGGAGATTCAATGGGTGGTCCCTTCTCTTACTAGCTGTCCAGCATGGGCACTCCCTCTTCCCTCTTTAAGCAGATCCCGCTCTGTCCAAATGGGGGTTGTTGCAGATTCTGTGACAATACCTGCAAGCTGCTTTGTAAAACAGAAATTACTATTCAAATGGTAGTGTTATTTTAAACACAGCTTTACCATTGTCTAATACATCCAGATATCATTATCGGAACAGCAAGCTCACAGTGCAGGGAGATCCGCCCAGTGGCACCAGCTCTGCACACGAGACCCTCTGAGGGAGCAGTCTCCTCCAAGGATGCCCTCCACTGACAATTCAGACAGTTTCTCTTGCCAGCCTGGCTGCTGCTCTGGCTCGAGGCTCTCTGGAAGCTAGCTGAGTTCTTGTGGCACCATCTCCATGGATGACAGGGGTGCTTAGCTTCTCTAAGGATGGCGATTGCCAGGCCAAGCATACCATCCTGCCTGGTGCCCCTTTGGCCCTGAGCCCCGTCTGGTGTGAAGAGTAGGGGTTGGGATGAGGCCAAGAGGTTGGTTGTGTGCCCTCTCTCTTAGCTCTGATGCCTCTCCGTGGTGCCGGCCCCCCCAACTGCTTCTCCAGCTGATGGATGGAACCATCCCCCCGGGCCCCAGCAGGCTTCCCCTCCCACCCAGTTAAAGGACCGAGGTCACCTCCCTACTGGTCTCTTCACAAAGTTCTCTTCCTTCCACGTCCATCCTACACAAGCAGCTGCAGACAGTCTCCCCTGACCTGCTTCCTACGGGACCAGCTGCATTCCAGGGTTTTCTTTCATTCGTGCTCTCTTCGCAGTCCACACCCTGGCCTCGCCATCCCTGAGCCATTCAGCCTTTGATCTGGACCTTCACTGCACATGTGCTTTCTTTCTGCATCTCTTCTTAAGCAGAGCAAAATCCCGGCTCATCTTTCAAGCCCTAACTCATTTGATGCTTCTTCTGGGAAGCTGTTCCCATTTTCCTTTCTCCTCTTTTGGAGGTGTCTTCATTCCCGTCTCTCTGCCTTCCATCTCCACATCTCCCCTCCTTAACCCACAGCACCGTGAGGGCTCACAACTTATTTTGAGAATTGCAGTGAATTCAACTGGGTGCCAGCCAGCAGAAGACAGTTCACGACCCTCTAACCCTTCCCAAAAGAATGGGATGTCAGAGTGGCCCCGAGGTCATGTTCCAGGCACAGGTGACAGCTGTCGGGCTGGGACATGGCACAGCCCAGGCTGCAGGTTTCCTACCCCCTCACATTCCCCCATGTAGCAACAGTATCACAGGACATTAATAAAATCAATTATTGGATAAAAATCACTGGTTTCCAATGCTTCATTTTGTGCTATTAGCAGGAGAATGCTGTTTCAAAAGGAGATAACAGAGAGAGAGAGAGAGAAAGGGAGAGATCAATTACCAGATAAGATCGCGTGGTGCCTGAGATGAATGTGCTCGCGGGCGAGCCGCCCCCCTTACCTGCCATCCGTGGGCTGAGCGCCTGCACTGCTGTCTGCAGTGCCTGCCCGGGGCCTTCCAAGTGCAGAGGAGCATCCTGGTCAACAATGGGTGGGTGGTACCCAGGCAGCTTCAGATACTTGCACGGCCACAAGTGTCAGTTACACATGAATGAACATCTCATTCTGGTGATGATGCCAGCCCCAGGGCTGCAGCCTGCATGGTCCAGGTCAGAGCCTGGTCAATAGGTCCTTCCAGACACAATGTTCTTTTGGCTTTGATGAACCAGAAAGGTCTGAGCTTTGTTGATACAGACTGGCTCTCTCCTAGTGGGGGCAGTACTAGCCTCCACTGGGCAGTGGCTGTCAAGGGAAGCACCCAGCATGCCGTGGCCCTAAAGCCCACCCACCTCCTGTTGTCCATACAAAGGGTCTCATTGGCTGCGGAGCTGGGGTGGGCGGAGTGGAGGAGGCAACTCGGGCTCTGGCCAGGAGCTATCCCCTCCCTGTATCAGTCCCCCTGCCTTGTATGTGTGCACTGGAGGGCCCAGGAGACTGAGCTCTGCTTTGAGCTCTGCCTCAGTCCACCTGGACGACCTCAGACAAGCCAGTAACCTTTCAGAAACCTCACCTTCCCTCCTCCCCATAGGGTCTTAGGGAGGACAAAACGAGATCGTGAATGCAGAAACTGCCTTCCACTTTCTAAAGTGCTGTCTCCTCGTGTGGTGAGGGTGATTGCTTGCTCCCCTGTGGATGCTTTTTAAAAATAATCAGATTCCTGGGATGGAGGAATAATGGAACACACAGGCATCCATCTGGTGGGTAGCACACCATTCTAGATGGATCGCCGACTTCCCATCGCTGCCTTCCTTAGGCAGAGGAGGGAGTGACCAACATTGTGTACCTACTATGTCTCAGCCACCAAGCCAGCACTTTTCACCAGGTGTTCTCGAATTACCCTGGAGAAGTGGCCTCTGGGGTTCATATTCTAGAATCTAAGTCCCAGCCCTGACGCTTCCTAATTGTGGGATCTTGAGCAAGGTACTTGGGCTACTGTGGCTGCTTCCTTATCTGTGTGGTGGGAGTATGACCAACATCCATCTCCTAAAACTGCTATGAGGATCACACGAGATGATGTGAGTCCGGGTACCTAGCAGAGCGCCTGGTATATGAGCGCAGCACTCAAATGGTACCTGCCATTGTCGCCGTCATTCTGTCTGTTGTTGCTGATGGTTTAATGAACATCCGACACCTCTGCCCCCATCTTTGAGCTAAACCTCGCCCGCACAAGCCTGGTCCCTGTGGCTGGGCACTGACGGACAGAGGGGGCTGAGAGCCAGAAGCCATTCTCACAGACTTCCCATTTGTGTCATACAGATTTCGGATGCTGACTGGGATGACCTGTGGGACCAGTTTGATGAGCGGCAGTATCTGAATGCCAAGAAGTGGCGCGTCGGTGACGATCCCTATAAGCTGTATGCTTTCAACCAGCGGGAGAGCGAGCGCGTTGCCAGCAACCGGGTGGTCCCGGACACTCGCCTTTTAAGGTACTTCTTCCCGACCCCTCCCCACAGTCAAGACTGACCCATAGCAGGCTTGATTTGTGCAGTGCCCAGTGCCACGAATTGGGGCAGGCCAACTATTTATTGCCAGTTGGACACCAAGGGGTCTGTGATGTGGTAAATCACCCTGTCTGTCCTGCTTATTGTCACGAGCCATCCCAAAGCATCCCGTGGAGTGGGTGGGCGGCCTCTTGCGCCTGCACCTTGCCCCTCTCACCCGGTGGTCACCCTGAGCCCACCTGCCATGAAATTATGGAGCACTAAACACCCTCCAGCCAGGGCCTGTTTTCCCCTGGCAGATTCCCGTGGCTGGGCCTGGCTTTCACACTGGGAGGGGCAGGATGGGCAAGCCCTGGGAAGTCAGGCCAGCGGTCTCTTCTGTTGCTGGGAGAGGTCCTTCCTCTGACAGCCTGACACTTTGCCACATGAGAGGAGAAGCTGGTGGGGCCTCTTCACTTGCCATTGGGTCCACTGTCTGCTTCTAAGCAGTCCTTCGACATGGTCCATTCTGCCATCCCCTTGGTCAGGCCATATCTTCAGATGGTTGCAGAGATCAGGCCTGGGGCAATGTGGAAAGCTTTGTTTCCCAGCAAAAAGAGGCTTTGTAAGGGCACTTTGCCTCATTTCCAATCTTTCCTAGGGTCATGCCAGCCCTTTGCTTCCCAGGGAGGCGTGAGGAAACAGGTCAGTCTCAGGCCAGTACCTCCCATCTTAGCCTCCAAGCTGGGAGGTGCAGCCATGTCCAAGACCCATGACGGTGTGTTTCCTGTCTGCTGCCGGAAATTGATGTTGTAACCAGAATAGCAAATGGGCAAGCTTGGGGGTCGAGGGGCTTGAAGGCAGTGTTGAACTGAGAGGCTGTAGGACTGCTGTTAGCTTCTTAGATTTCTATATTTGTTTGGACTTCTGGGTACCAAATTGTGGACACTGGGGTTTAGGCACAAGACAGTAATAATTGTCAGTCAGGTGGTGCTTAGTTGGGAATATGTGAAAGCTGGTGGACCTAGTCTCCCCAGCGAGGTTGCACAAATCAGAAACTGTGACTTAGGCAGCTCGTGTCCCAGGGAGGGCTCAACTGGTCCTGGTTAATCACCATCATTCCTAAGAGGAGCTGGAGTCCTGGTTTCCCCATGAATAAAGCCAGGGGGCTGAACTGGATGGGATCTGTGGCTTCTTCTAACTCTGGGAGTCTGCGAACTTAACCCTCCTGTTAAGGTACCCGTGAGACACTTCCTTACCGCGGGGCCTGGGAGTGCTCTATAACCAGATACCTGGGGGATGGGCTCTACCCAGAACACTCTCGCTGCTTGCCTGAGAGCTTCTTAAAGTCAGAGTCTTGTATTGTTCCTATTAAAATTCCCCAGCACTAACCCTAGTCCTTAGCACCTGATAGGCTTGTTAGAAGTGCAAATTCTTAAGCTTCCCTCCAGAACTACTGAGTGAGGAACTCTGGGGGTGGAGCCTGGCAATCTCCACCAGCACTACCGGTGATTCCGACGCCCGCCAAGTTTACCAACTGCAGAGCGTCAGCTAGCACTGTGGCTTCCCATTGTGGAGACTTTGTGTCCATGGGTGGGTTGGTCCAGCCAAAAGTTCCTGAGTAGAAAGGAGAGGTCTCCCTGCCTCCGGGCTGCAACCCTCTCCCTCTGTCCAAGTGACAGGATTGCTTCACCCACTGGGGAGACCTCTGGCTTCCCTGGGTCCTTCCTGCCCCTCCTCTTCCCCCAGTTTCTTCAACCAGAGGGTCTATATGCTGCCATCGTCTTGACAGTTGGCATCACCTTTACCGAAAAGGTCCTACTGCGGCCATTGGCCCACCCTGGGCTCCTGGTTCCTTTGTGGGACGCCACCCCACCCCCACCCCATGGACAAAGCTCCGCTCTCCCTGTGGGTGTTCCCATTATGCCTTGCAGCTAAGGTCCTACTAGTTACGACACCAGTTGCCCTCTACGGGGAGTAATCTTAGATGCATGCCAGGAATTCAATAACTGTTGAACAAATGAAAGGTAGAACAAGCCTGAGAAGACAATTGACTGCTCTTCTTCCCATCTGCCTTATGAGTACACAGGACAAGAGAAGCTAGAGGAAGCCCCCTTCTCCATGTCCTTCCATCCTCAGGAGCTTCAGATAAGGGATCAGGAGAACAGCCTCTGTTAAAGGAAAAAGGCCTTTCCCCTTAAAGAGTTCTCATTAATGAGAAGAGAAGTGTGAAGAAACAGCCTGTGGGAGGGGTCTGAGCTTATTAAATTTGCTTCCAATTTTCCTACCACAGTAATTGGACTGTGATTTATAGGATGCGTTTGGACAGTGCCTGAAACAGAGAACTATTAGCTGAGCATGAGAGCAGGCATTACGGAGAGAGCAGGCACTAGGGGGATGGCTTAGGAGTCCAAAGATGCAGCAGGTGGAGTGAGGAGGGGAGAAGTGGGGGAAGGAGGGAGGCTGCTGTGGAGGTTTCCTCCCAACAGCCCGTTGTGCTGATTGAAAAGCCACATGCGTTGGCAGTGTGGAACCCCCGACAAACAGGTGGTGGCGGGGCGTCATGTGCTAGAAGCCCCAGAGCGGCCGGGAGCTGGATCACCTATGTGGAATGGAACGGAGTCACCATCTTTCTCCTGGGCCTCTGCCGCATGGAGCCCATGGTACTTTGTGGAGGGCAATGGGGTCTACCTGGAGCCTGGGATGACCTAGGTGAGGAGTAGGAGATGAGGTGGGGCAGGCTTTGAACTCCCCATTCCAGGGTTTTTGGGGGCCATGGGGTGATGCTCACCCCCAGGATAGTTTAAAAAAGTGAGTGTCTACACTTTCCAGTGGGTCTACTCCTTTGCTCTTTGGGGTCACCAGCCTTCCTGTGCCCACCCCACCCCTTATGTAACATTTGACATTTTCACCATCTTGAGATGGCAACCTGCTGTCTTAGGTCTTCAGACGTGTCTTTGCTGCGGCTCAGGCTCCCCATCTCCAAGTCAGTCCCTGTAAGAAGAGTGGGGACGAGGTGACCAGCAATGGCCCTCTGCCCATCCCTGCCCCTCTCTTAGCTTTGTTTTCTCATCTGTAGTTGGACTAGATAACCTCAAAGCTTTGTCATTGCGTGAGTGCCACCTGATTGTAGATGGATTTGTTCTGCACAGTTGGTCTTCTCTCTCTGGATATAAACACATACATACACACTGCTCTCCCACCTGCCTCACGTGAACACAACACGGGGCGCCTCTTTGGGGCACCCTAGTTCCGAATTTCCCCCCTAAGGCGCATAATTCTGTTAACACAGACGATAGCCTTAATTTCCAGGGCATGACCCAGGTCCCCTGAGGTCATGAGGATGAAGAGACGTGGCTGCCTGTATGGGGTGGGGTGGGGTGGGAGGAGTGTGCCATAAATAACTATTTCAAGTAAGGAAGAGACAGAATCTAGCTGGGGGGAGTCTGAGAAGATTTCCTGGGGGAGTTCTGTTGTTTATAAAGCATTGACTGGTCCAACATAGTTCTCATTTTCCAGTCCTGTCGCCCCCACCCCCGTCACCACATTCTGGTGACAACAGCTGGATTTGCCATCATCCAAGTGGCACATAAAACATCTGAAAGACATGAAGCCATTAAATGGAGGCACACCCCTGAGAAGGGGGGAAATATTTTGATAAAGCACATGTGTATTTTCGCTGTTGCCTAGCAATGCATATTATGGGCTTGCTTTCATTGCAGGGGAGCAGGTGGTGGGGCGGATGTGCCCGTGAGCTGGGGGCTGGGGCACTGAGAGCTGGGGAGCCTCATTAGGTCCCCTCCCCCTGGCCAGGCTGGGCTTGATTGTTCCCCTTGGCATATGCTCCCGGGCTCTGTCCAGCGCAGTGCTAAATGGTTCAAACAGTGGGATGCCCATCGCTTGCCTGGAGGGAAAATTCCACACTTCGATACATCTCACCAGGAAGGCATTTTTCCTTTGCTCCTTTTCATCCTGGGAAATGAAGGGGCCATGGCCCAGTCTGGGACTGCATTTCTCCCTCCTTGTATTTACTCGGTCAGAATGGCCGCCAAAGATCATCATCATCTCTCTCCGCGTACTCGTCACTTAACAGTAATAGGATAAAAATCTTTACGGCTGGAATGGCTAAGCATAAAAAATATTCATATTCCCTCAGAGTCAAGGCTATTCCACTAGCTCAGCACAGAGTTGGTGATTCCACATCAAGGTGGAGGGGAGGGGAGGGGAAACCTATCACAGACACTTAGCTTTGCAAACTAGCTCGCCCATCTGCTGCGTCCTGGTCCCCCCGTGCGCCATTTTTCAGTGCAGGAGTTTGTGAGCCTGCTGGCCGTGGCTCTGAGAGCACTTCACTCCAGGGCATCTCAGTTTCAAGGAGCCTTGGAAGGGGGATAGTGGGAGGAGTTTCCCAACACCCTGGAATATCTCAGTAGGAGAACTGCATCTGCTGGCTTGGGTACCGCTGTTTGCAGAACCACCTGCAGGTCCTGGGAGTGGGTTCTCACCAGGGTGAGGGGAGAGAAAGACCATAGAGACTGGAGGAGCAGGGGCCTCTGGGCCAGGATTCCTTTCACTTTCTCAGGTCCCCTGTCCCTGGTGTGCTGCTCTTGCAGGCCTCTCCCCCTGCCTGCTCTGTGAGTTCCACACAGATTTCGTGAAGGGGCAGCTCCTCAGTTTTTGAAAGGGGACACGTCCAGAAAAGCTACTGATGAGAATTCATCTGGACAAACGGCCTTAGCTAATGTTTTCTCCCACCTTGTTTCCTGGTTAATTCCCACCAACCTGACGTTACACTGTGCGTCTCACTCACTCACTAATTTTCCGGTTCATCTGCTCATCCATCCACTCAGCACATTTACTGAACACTAACCACGTGCCGAGCTCTGTGCTAGGAACTGGTCCCCGTTCTCCAGGTGCTCACGGTCTAGTGGTGGAAATCCACCTGGGACTGATTCCTGATGCTCAAATGTGAATTGCCCTGAGGCCATAGCCTTAACTTTGGAGTT